ACCCTAAACCCTAAACCCGTGTGTGAGCATCCCCAATGGCTAACCCAACCATCACAGAGGGACCAAATTTGTCTTTTCATCCTTGAGGTCCTATGGTCGCCTATCCATGTAAGCCATTGTCTAAACTCCTAGTATCCCCCTTAATAATGGAGAATCAAATGGAAAAGAACATGGAAAATGAAATGGAAACTGGGATTATACAGGGGATTGTAGGTATTATTGTCTAAACTCCTAGTATTCCCCTTAATAAGCCCTGTAGTAGTCCCCTCTATAATCCCATATATAACCCCCCTTTAAGGAGTTTAGACTATAGCTCATGTAACCTTCGCCACGGCCCAAACATGTTTGGCAGAAGCCGCAACTATAAGGAGGACCAGAAGGCCTATATTGCACGGTTGAGATACAATCTAAGCCCCCGTAGATCCTTCCCACAGAATCGCCGGCGTCGCAGCGCTCAATATTTGAAGAGAAAGTGAAGGCAAAACATACTGAGAACCACATTTGATGCTAGTGGCAGGGTGGTGATTCAGGGAAAGCGACTGCAAGCCTAACTTAAAGTCCTGTCTTGCCAAGCTGCTTTCTGGAAAGGCCTTTAGAATATGGGATTTCCAAAGATTGGTCCTTGCTATGACCTTGATAGTGAGAACTGTCTCAAGTGTGAACACGGGAGCTGAATGTCGAGAGATCCCATAAGAGCACTTCAGACCAAGTTTTCCATAATCATAACCATCTTCCCTCAGTAAAGTTGCCAACCCACGCGATTGAGAGTAGGGTGCATGGTCTGAGTTTTGGAATGACGTCGTGGGAAGAGGATGCCCCTGCACCGGCAGCGCTACACATAACATGGGTAAGCCCCCAACATATTGCAATATGAGCTAGAGTCTAAACTCCTATAGCATCCCCCTTGATAACCTGTATAACATTCCCCTATTGAATCCCCTAGATAACCCCGCGTAAGGAGTGTAGGCTACAGCTCATGTGAACACAAAACTGCTTCCATGATCTAGCAGAATGATATACAGGAAGGTACAGGGCAGCACCAGCATACCATAGGTGCCCCATCATGTGCAGGACATGGTAAAGACATTCACATTGTTCCCCGCCACACCCCAAAGAAGCAGAGAATCCCTGCACACAGGGTTTGGGGTTCAGGGTTTAAGTTTAGCATGTTGGGGGCCGAGGTTTAGGGTTCAGGGTGTTGGGTTCGGGCTTTGGGAGTCACAGGATTGAGAAAGTGCTCGGGCCTTCAAGAAGAATCAGCTGCATGAGTAGGCAGAAAACATTGAGCCCTGATCGCCATCATTTCGCGCAGCCACAAAAACTCCATCACTACAAGATGCTGCAACCCTCCGAGAGCCTCGGCATAGTAGTGGACCTTCAAGCGTGAGCTGAATGCGCAACATGACTTAAAGCCGCGTCCAGGGCTGCCGAAAACCCTTCCAGATCAACCTGCATGAAGTCACTCATCTCTGCGGACGTATCTTGCACGAGGACATGGAAATATTTGACCCAGGAAACACTGCCTTCCAAACTCCAGTATGTTGCTAAGCGAACTTTGCCATTGCCCAGCTGACATCCGCGAACATTCAGAGAATGGGCACCGCACACAAACTCAATGGCTGCCACTGGCACGTGACAGGGCATCCACAATATGTTTGAAAAACCAGTCCCATGAGGGCCAAAGACAAGAACAGCTGAGTTGAAGATACGGTACTGATCTTGGAAGGTCGCAGTTTTGCCCTTCAGGGTACCATTGAACTCGACGATCTCCATGGGAATACTGTGACGTCGTATGGCGCTGGAGGCAAGCTGAAGGACGTGCCGGGAGTGCTCTTCGGTAAGTAAACGCCCATGACCTGCTGTGGCCGGTACCCGCACTTCGTGCACAGCTGTAGTTGGATTGTGAGAGGGCTGTACACGCAGAACATGTGCCCTCAAATGATTGAACAAAGCAGGAATGCGAAGTCCATGCGGGGACTTGATACCGTGCTGAGGGACCACCACCAATAGAGCTCCGGCGCATACAACCACATCAGGTTGCACAAATGTTGTTCTTCGGTGTAGGTCTGGATCAAACCAAGCCAAAAAAGGGTCAATCTTGCCCTGCTTATCCAACTCCAATACGACCTGTGCCTCAGGGTACGACGTGCTCATCCACACAAGCACTGGCAACAAATCATGTAGAACATGGCCGTACTGAAAGCTTCCGAAGGCAAACCCTCGAAAAAATACCACTTCATGTGGCAGATTCAGAGAACAATTCTGCAGAGCAGTGGTTGACGACAGGTACCAACCACTACGCTTGAAGCCAGGGTTTGACACAGACAACTGTACTTGCCAATCACCAAAGCCGCTGGGCTTGGGATATGAGAACCTGCCCGCAGCCAGCTTTTTAACAATGAAGGTTTCGTTGACGGTCCTGCGCAGCACAGACAATGTTATACTCCTTGCATCTGCATAAACTTGTCGGTTTGATGAATCATTCACATCAGGCCCCATGTGCAAAGCAGCCTTGCCAACAGCGTCTCTGGGCAGGCAACTGTTCCTCTGAAAGCTGTGTATAGGGTTTGTCACCATCTCTGATTCCATGTCCAATGACAACATCAACGCAAGGTTCAGCAACATTGCGAGGGCAGCTGCAGTCATGCAGATTGCGCACCGCTGAGACACCATGGCAGCCGCGTGGAGACTGGGACAGTTTGGAATTGGGGTTCAGCCTTTGATGGAAGGTTTCCCTACATCATACAAGCAGACTGCGGCACTGCTGCGAGTCCCGTCAACATTTTTTGGAAGATGTACCCTGGTTTTCCAAACATTTTCCTCAAGAAGGAGATGTATGGATTCCTCATCCTCAACATGTGTTTGCATTTGCGGTCTGCAGCCGAAAAGCAGATGCGGAATCCTTGTTGTCGCAGGTTGTTGCCATGCCTTGCCCCCAACCCCTAAACCCTAAACCCTAAACCTCAAAGCGACCTTCTGGCAGCAGGGTGGGCTGCGCTGGGCATGCAGCAGCTGTGCAAGCCATGGGGTCCTCTGCACATGCACATAGAGTTTAGGGTTCGGGGTTTAGGGTTTAGGGCCTTTTGGAGGCGAAAAGCTTGGAACACGCAGCTACGATGGCTCGCTCTGTTTTACGCTCTTCTTAGGTTTGTCTTAAGATCCAGCTCGGAAGCTTTTCATGGGGGTGGAATATGAGTGGTATATATGGGGACCATGGCGAGCCACACAAGAATTAGAACTTGCTTCCTGTGCCTTCCGGGCCTGGTGCTTGGGAGGGAATGGGGGAATGGATTAAAGGGATAATATTGGGGATTCTATAGGGACTACTATAGAGATAGTTCTTCCCAAGGTTCATCAGCTCGGTAGTGTAGTACAAAAGCTCACCCCAAACCCAAAACCCTAAACCCTAGCTGGAGGTTGGTGGTAGGGGGGGTGGGGGTGTGGGGAGGTTAAGAGATGAAAATTCACACGCTTGGGTGATCCCATAAACCAATCGTGTTCTTCGCACATGAGTAGCATGTTTTTGGCGGTTGAACCTAGTAAGATTCTATTCCTTCTATAAAATACTATACCCCAAAAGGAGGATAGAATCTTACTCTATAATGCGTACCATAGTATCCCCAAATAAAATACTACTCACATGACGAGGTCTACTCTTTTGGCTGTTTGCAAGTATTTGTCCTAATCAGGCTCGCTACGCGGACGTGCATCCCAGCGCTTGGATTGAGTCGTAATAAACAGCATGATGGATCCGCATGCCAGAGTGTTGCGAGCTTTCTAGATTTCCCACTAGATGCAGTGGAGAAGCCAGAAGCCTGGAGAATCTGTTCCCAGAGAAGGTGATGAATTGCCGGAATCAAGTCTACGCCTTGAGTCAAGTCGCCCGAAGCCATAATGCAGGGGTTTCTAAAAAAAGGGTTGGCCGCACCCCAAGGATACATGGAGATGACATACGGGACACTGGAGTTCCTACGTAGGGGGTAGTTTGAGAAACACGCATATAAAGCTAAACACATGCAAGTGAATGCCTCAACAGGAGCCCCAAAAACCAGTCCCATACTGTGGTATTGTAGCAAATGCCAGTATGGAATTGGTCAGCTTCCGTACTAAACCTCGAATCCGCACCGGCGGCAGCGTGCTGGAATAGATTCGTGCAGTTGGGCTTGAGATAAACACTATCTGCCAGAGTCCTTGCAAAACCTGGGCCCTGCCAAAACACACGTCGATGCTACCATCCGCATTGTAGGCACCTGGTACCTACCAAAGTGGACCCCTAATTGTTGGAGTGGTTGGAAATCCCAAAACCCTACACCCGAAACCCTAAACCGTGTTTTGGGCACTTCGGCAGGATTTTGAGGCTGGTCTAAGACCCTAAGGGTCCAGGTAGGTATATATGGTATATACTTAGGGCCCAATGGGGTTCCCACATACCTACATTAAGGCCCAAGTATATACCATATGACTACATGAGCGACGACTTTTATTTATTGTCT